ATACTGAACTTGGAGGATAGCAACAAAGTATCAATGATGATATCGATCTGACAGCAATACCAGCATTGGTAATGATACTTTAGATATTTGGATCGTTCTGCCAAAAGACACTTTCACAGCTGACTAGTGCACTGGATAGAATTGATCTACTGCTATTAGCTATTAGTGAGAGATTGTCTTTTCTCACAGCAAGGAGTATGGTTGAATCAGTCCACAAAGGAACAAATGAAATGAAGAGATTGACACTTCTGTCGTAACTGTCTGTAAGATATGAAGCTATTGCCTGCAGCTAGCATCAAGACTGAATGACTTGGAAAACAGCAAATATTTCTTTGCTAACTGGTTGTCATGTGGCTATTGTAAATTGTACCATAAATTGCAGAGTGTAACACATTCCAAAGTAATGTGCTACTTTAATTTTTATTGCACAAAACCACCAGAGGATGATAGTCCAGGGAAAACTGGGTCCAGGAATGAAACACTTAACATTATACTGCTAACAAAACTTTAGCTCTTTCTTAGCATCTGCACAGTTAGCATGCTAACAAGAGCTAGTGGAGAATTCAGAGTGATGTTAAAGCTGCGTGAATGCTGACAACAGCCCTGTGGCCAGAGCCTGAACTTCAACAACTAACAAAAGCAATAGTCAGCAGTCAGGCTTGTCGCCTCCATTATCACCTGTAAATGTTTCTGCAGTAGAATTGTTGCTGCAGTGACTTTGAAGTTGGACTGGTTTTGAACTTTTCTTGGTGTTATGGGTTTCTGTTAAGACTTAAATACTAAAAGAAAGATCTGGTGTCCTCATTGGGATACGGGTTTCTGCTACTGTGTGGATTTGTAGCTTAAGTTTTATATTGTTAGCTGAGAATTATGTGGCAGTGCATTTTAGATCATCTTACAGACTAACTCCAAAGTAATGTAACAATTAGTGTGATGAATTACTTTCTCCAGTGAGTAATTAAGTAACATACTGCATTACTTACTGAAATGTTTACAGCAACCTACCAAAGAACCAGTTCTAGGATAATTCATGGATAGTTTCCCCCTTCATAGTAGCTGGAAGACAGCTCTTCCATGGAGATAGCGCCATGCCCCATGATCGGAGGGTCGGGGGTTCAAATCCACCGAACAGCTACCCTGAGGGACCCCTGAGTAAGGTACCGTCTCTACACACTGCTCCCCGGGCGCTGGATTGGAGACTGCCCACTGGTTCACTGAGTGAATGGGTTAAATACAGAGGACTAATCCCCCTACGGGATTAATAAAATGTACATTATTACTGTTCGGTGGGTAATGGTTTTAAAAACTCACATATATAGACAAAGGTCAGGCTTAAATTTAGACCTGTTGAACTATGTTTGTGGTGTTGATACCTTTTAAAACATTTTTTAAAATGAATACCTGACAAATTTTAAATATGCCTTGCAGTTTAGGACAGATATTACGAGACGGTTCTGCTTTAGTTTTGGACACTGAATTTTGTTTTATAGATTCAGCCCATTAACCAAGCTTGCAAGCCACATCTGATAACTTGGTTATTATAGGAAGGGCATGTCAAAAGTAGGTTCTTTTATTTTAAACATTACAGTAATTAGAAACAAACATCAAGGAGCCTGGCTGCAGTAGTTATAGCTAGAAATTGATTTGCTGGAAAGTGAACCAAGAGTCTTGGAAGTAGAAGGAACAAAGAGA